TTTTAGTTTTTTTATATGAGCGTCGTTTTAATAATACATGAGGTCTTGGCCCATAATTAAGGTCTGACTCCGCCCATAATTAAGGTCTGACTCCGCCCATTCACATTAGGAGAACTTTTGACCTTCATTCCCATTGAGTTTTTTTGTTCTTTATATCAACTTTAAGTGAAGAAAATTTTATGTCAATATAAGGCATCTTTTGACCTTAAATTTTTATAGAATTATTAAAAGTAGGTCTTTCATATTAATTGTAGATCCGCATATTATATTGAAGTATATGTGTGCAAAATTTCATTGCGCCAGCTCATGAAACATTTTCACAATTCTCCTCATTATGCATTTTGGATTAGTGACCACGCCCCTTTTAAATGGCGAAAGGCGCCAATACTTAGCTTAGGAAATATTCAATTATTACCACTATGTATATCAAAATATTTGATAACCTGTGTTTGAGAATGCATTTTTGCATTTTGAAGACATTTAAACTGGAATGTTTTAGTTTGGGTTTTAAAAACCTGGTAGAGTCCATACTATAAATGATCAGAATTTTCTGTGTTCAAAACGTGGTTCATAGCCACTTGGATAATGGCCATATCATAGTACTACCTCAGAGTTTCATTCATAAAAGTTTGCCATGTGCAAAAACTATTAAACCATTGGTCAGGGAAAGCTTTAATTGATTATTCATGTGCCAAAGTTGAAAGTTTAAAATAAGTCGACCCTAAACAGTACTTTAGTAATAAGGGGATGCATTGCCTTATATAAACTATATAGTCATTGCACATGACGCAATCAGCGGAATGAGGTCACAAAATGTTGAGGTTTTGTCTATAGTAAAAAACACCAAACGAACTGACAATTTAAAAATTCTTAGCTCAAAAAGTACTTAAGCTAAAAAGTTGATCATTGTTTCAGTTTTTTCATTTGAAATTTGCTCCAAATAACTGTAATATCAAACAAATTATTTTTAATTTTTTATTATTTTTTTTAACTTAAGTACCTACCTTAAAAATAAGTAATTTGTATCATGATATGTATACATATTTATTTAAACACAAAATAGTGCATTGGAATGACATAGTGAAACATTTGTCAGAAAATTTTACTATTTTTAATGTTCCAAAATCTAACTTAGATGAACATATTCAAAATGTTAGGACGTCAGAACCTGGATTAGATCCATCCACCAATGACCCAGGTCCATCCACTAGTTACCCAGGTCCATCCCCATTGTCCATGAGATTTTAACCTTAAGAAAGAATTGTCTTAATTGCTCTGTAAAGATAAAAGGGAATGAGAACCTTGCAATAAAAACAAAAGACTTAAAAGTCTAAAAGAAACCATTAAAAAGCAATTTAAAGATAAAAAGGTTAACCAAAAAGTAAAACGACTATTGAGTACTATTCATAAAGGAACAAAGAAATAGAGTTTTAGTAAAGCAAAATTCATCTTTAAATCTTTCAAAGCAAAGCATGCTTAAAGTTCTAATTGGGAGTCTAAAAAGATCACATAAATATTTAGAAGATGTTAAGAAAAATATAGATCTAAATTGCTCATTAAGTCCCAGGAGGCTCAGATCCAGGAGGCTCAGAGCCACAAACAAAATAAAGAAATCATTCAACTGAACCAGATAATTGATAATCTTGCATGTACATTATTGGAAGAGAATACAGATAATACAAACGTACTATAAACAAAAGATGGTAAAACGTATGATTTCTTCCCAAGAATGGTGATGTACAAATCACTTTTCTTGTCTGTGCTGTTGGAGATTTACTTCAATTCTCCATTCAGCAAATGACTGGAAAAACACTGATATCAATGCCTAGTCAGACAACAGTGGCTCAGATGTCTTGTGAGTTGGAAATTTAGGCCAACTTACAAATGGGCGAGGCCTTATCATCCTATGATAATGTAAAATTATCGTGAACTCTACCAGCATTGATGGCAATCACATCCATGAAATACATATCTCCACTGCACCTACAAAACAACTTACATGAGACATTAGACAGTTAGGTGGTGGCAGGGCTGTAGATTACAGTGAACACATTAGGGAATCACTGAGGGATCTCACCTACCTCTATGCAAAACAAAATGTGGAGAAAAATGCATTGTTAAAAGGAACAAAAATAACCGTTGTTCCAACATTGATTATTTTAAAATTACAAGAGCTACAAATGTGATTCGGGTGTCTTAATTTTGTTAAAAATTATGTCATTGGTTCATTAAAATATTTTTTTTTTTTTTTACCAAAGTACCTGCTTATGCCAGCCTTCTGCACACCAGACTCTGTATTAATTTTGTTCTATTTATTAAATAAATCGATGTGAAGTGAATGAACAATGCTTTCTCTCAATGCTTTAAAAATTTTAAATATTTAGTTGAAAGTTGAAGCAACACATTTGAAGTTAAACTAAATGTCAATAACTTACAAGGCAAAGATGGCAAAGTTAATTACTAGGAGCAATTTTTGAATTTGATTTTACCACTCTAGCAGTAGATGTAGTTTGTAGAATTTTATGTTTCTCTCTCTATGCCTATGCATTGACATTTGCCCGTTATTTGCATATGTGTCATAGTATTTATTGATACTAAGATATATAGGTCATTGGGTGTATCGATAACGTAGCAGTGCAGTCACTTTCTGAATATAAATGAGTCACAGTCACTGGTCTTAAAGGCTTATTGTCTTGTAGAGACTATACAAATTTCAATTTCTATACTATTATTTTTTTATGAATCTATTTATTCTCAAATTTCAGTTTGTTACATTGACAATGTCACTGACGACATCGTATTTTCGGTCATGCATAAAAAAGAATTCATCAAAATTCAGTATCAAGTTATTTGATGATTTCTTAATGTCTTTTCTTTCATTGTTAGGAATAAAACAAGATCTAAGTAGTCATGTGGATGGTAGATGAAGTGGCGCGGACGGTAAAAGAAATGGTTCTAGAAGGCAATATTCACAATATTGTTGTGTTTACTGTAATCACCAGTTCTTCTGTTCTCTCAGGTAATCAGCATTTATTTTGATCTCTCGTCTAATCAGCTGTTCCTCTTTCAGGTGTCAGCAGCTCGCCTGCTTTAACCTCAGGTAAATCCCAGTTCTCTCAGGTAAATCCCAGCTCTCTCAGGTAATCATCAGTTCTTCTGGTGATCAGCAGATCTCAAATTATAATACCTTAGATAATAACCAGTTCTCCTTTCCATCAGGTGAACCTCGGATATTGGGTTCTTTCTGGTAATCAGTAGTTCCATGTCTTCCAGGGAGTCACAGTTTCTCTGTACAACCATTAAACATACAAAGTATAATAAGTTGGGTTATTATTGCTACCAGCAATCATGAAAGACTACTCTGATACTTTTCATGGTACTAAAGTCACTAATAAATTAAACTACCCCTAAAATCAAAGTTTTTCACATAAATAAATAAATTAATGTAATATTGTGGTGGGGGGGGGGGGCGTGTTGAAAATTCAACAAACATGGTTACAAGTAACACTTTTTATAAGAATCCCCCAAATAGTGATCTTCCCCCACCACCACCCCCACCCCAGGCTCATCAGCAATGAGTCTATTTGCCAAGTTTCAGCTTGATCGGTTGATGGGAAGTGGGCCAATTAGCGGTCCGAAGATTTTGCCAGCCAGTCGAACACGAACAAAAACAAATTTAATTTAAATAAAATTTAAAAAGTTCTTGATATTATCAAGTTTCTTGAGTTGGCTCGGCAGGGATGTTGAGGACCTATCAAGTTTCTTGAGTTGGCTCGGCAGGGATGTTGAGGACCTATCAAGTTTCTTGAGTTGGCTCGGCAGGGATGTTGAGGACCTATCAAGTTTCTTGAGTTGGCTCGGCAGGGATGTTGAGGACCTAGAAAATGAGTCCGACCTATTTAACCCTTCAATTTTAAGTTTGGACTTTTCACAAACGTTTCATGATTCAACTCAGTTGCCAGTTTAAATTGATTTCTTTTTACTCTTGATATTTTCATTAATCCTGGAATGGATCTTGGAGTGGGGAAAAAACAAATTTCTAAAATTGTTCTTAAACTTTCAGTTGTGGGAGCACTGAGACATATTTATACTTTCATCAACAACGTCAGACATGGCCAGCATGTCAAACTCCTGCCGCCTCGTACTTTTTGGACGGAAAATGATGAATCTGAGAATGCTCTACAAAATCAAAGTTTAATGTTACACGACCTCGACAGATTTGCATACATCACATGCCAGTCCAAGGATTTCGTTTACAAAAGGAAACAAAAGGTTAGCGAGAGAAAATAAAATTTTTAAATTGAAAGGAAAAAATATAGATATCATGTTGCATAAATCAATTAGTATAATTTGACATAATAACATCATTGATCTATAAAGTAATCTGATTTGAGAAACTGGAATTTCGCATAGTGCATGCTTTATACTTCAAGCACCAAAATGTTTCAACAAAATTTGTGTCTATGCAGTTGTTTCTGTGATTTGTTTGTGTGAAAATGAAATTCAAATATGTTCTAACAGGAAAGTGCTTCTCAGCAGAACAGACATTCAAGCCAAAAATGTTTAAAGTCAGTAAATTGTTGTTATTATTTTTTTTGCTTAATTTTTTTTTTTTTACCTGTAAGTCATATATTTCTTATAAAGTAGCCATACAAAGAAGAAAGACACTTGGCACATGTTTTATCACTCTTGATGCGTGGTGTGCTGTGAGAAATGTAACAAATAGTACAATTCTTGCATCATCAGAAATTTATTTAATGAGCTTATGAAATATAGAATTTAATCTGACCACTTAACACCAGAATGGTTTTGGAATCACTGATTTTATAATTATTTTGAACCCTTTGTGACATGATAATGCTATATGTTGGCAAGGGATAAATAAGGAATCCAGAGTACCGAAATATTCCAAAACAAATGTAGCAATAAGTTATTTAATTTCATGTCTTACACAATTATATTTGTATTTTTCCGTTGATAGATGCAATGGTGGCTCATGGGAGAGGCACTGCGTACAAGGGTTGTGCCATGAATGTTGTGAGAACGTCGGAGGTTGTCAAAGTGGGGGTCATCAAGGACGTCCCGTCGCCTACATGCCTTGGTCAAGAAGTGAAATTATGAATGATAGAGTAATCAATCTGAGGTAAGTTGTTAATATGAATGATACAGTAGTCAATCTAAGCCAGTGGTTCTTAACATGGCTCCGATCGAACCCCAGGGGTTCGGTGAGTCAGTCTCAGGGGTTCGGCAGAGGTCCAAAAAAAAAAAATAATAAAAATAAAAATCATGTTTTATTTTTCCTATTAAGAAGGGTTCGGCGAATGCGCCTATGAAACTGGTGGGGTTCAGTACCTCCAAAAAGGTTGCCAGNATCCACACCCCCCCCCCTTTTTTTTTTACACACAGTTGGTGAGATTCAGCAGTGTCCTACTCAGTTTGGCATCAGCCATGTTTCTGAAGACAGAATTGTATGCATCATACTGTCAATGTCAGGGTTTACCCCATAACCTTCTGTCAGGGTTTGTCCCATTGTTTACTCTCAGGGTATGCCCCATAGCTTTCTCCCTTTAAGCGTTATGTCATCCTAGCTCATTCTTCTTCTTCTTCTATATCTTAAGGGCCCACGATCAATTTATTGATAATTTCTCTCATGGTATACCCCATAGCTTTCTGTACGGGTATACCCCATAGGCTTTAGTCAGGGTATACCCTGTAGACTTCTATCAGGCTATACCCCATAGCTTTCTCTCAGGGTATACTCCTAAGCTTTCTCTCATGGTATACCCCAAAGCTTTCTCTCAGGGTATACCCCATAGGCTTTGGTCAGGGTATACCCTGTAGACTTCCATAGCCTTTTCTCAGGGTATACCCCATAGACTTCAGTCAGGGTAGCACCCGATAGACTTCTGTCAGGGTATGCACCGTAACCTGTAACCATGGATTTTGTAGCCACAAGGCTGTATATGTTTTTAGTTTTTACCGCTATATTCTGAGTTATACAATATGAAGTTGGGATTGAGTATAATACATTTTTTATCACGTGACTATCCCAGTAAGGTTGTGTTATTTTGTATCTTCAGTCACATGACAGTCACATGGCGTTGACTGTCCCAGTAAGGTTGTGTTATTTTGTATCTTCAGTCACATGACAGTCACATGGCGTTGACTGTCCCAGTAAGGTTGTGTTATTTTGTATCTTCAGTCATATGACAGTCACATGGCGTTGACTGTCCCAGTAAGGTTTTGTTATTTTGTATCTTCAGTCATATGCCAGTCACATGGCGTTGACTGTCCCAGTAAGGTTGTGTTATTTTGTATCTTCAGTCACATGACAGTCACATGGCGTTGACTGTCCCAGTAAGGTCTTGTTATTTTGTATCTTCAGTCACATGCCAGTCACATGGCGTTGACTGTCCCAGTAAGGTTGTGTTATTTTGTATCTTCAGTCATATGACAGTCACATGGAGTTGACTGTCCCAGTAAGGTCTTGTTATTTTGTATCTTCAGTCACATGCCAGTCACATGGCGTTGACTGTCCCAGTAAGGTTGTGTTATTTTGTATCTTCAGTCATATGACAGTCACATGGAGTTGACTGTCCCAGTAAGGTCTTGTTATTTTGTATCTTCAGTCACATGCCAGTCACATGGCGTTGACTGTCCCAGTAAGGTTGTGTTATTTTGTATCTTCAGTCATATGACAGTCACATGGAGTTGACTGTCCCAGTAAGGTCTTGTTATTTTGTATCTTCAGTCACATGCCAGTCACATGGCGTTGACTGTCCCAGTAAGGTTGTGGTATTTTGTATCTTCAGTCATATGACAGTCACATGGAGTTGACTGTCCCAGTAAGGTCTTGTTATTTTGTATCTTCAGTCACATGCCAGTCACATGGCGTTGACTGTCCCTGTAAGGTTGTGTTATTTTGTATCTTCAGTCATATGACAGTCACATGGAGTTGACTGTCCCAGTAAGGTCTTGTTATTTTTGTATCTTCAGTCACATGACAGTCACATGGCATTGACTGTCCCAGTAAGGTCTTGTTATTTTGTATCTTCAGTCACATGCCAGTCACATGGCGTTGACTGTCCCAGGAAGGTCTTGTTATTTTGTATCTCTAGCCACATGGCATTGACTGTAACAGTAAGGTCTTGTTATTTTGTATCTCCAGCCACATGCAGTTGTTTGAGTTGCCTCCTCGTCTTGGCTTCCATTGTATGGATACGTGCAGCTTAGACCTCTCTCACAACTGTCTGTCAACTTTAGCTGAACACCTGGCACTCGTGCGGGGACTCATTAACATAAGTCTACATCATAACCTGTTGACCCACATTCCTGTAAGTATTTTACTCACCTGCAGATCAGTTGTGTTCTTAAACAGTCATCACATTATGATGAAAAGTATAATCTACATATTTTAGAGAAACTCCAGGAGAATATTCCAGTGAATTTCAGATTAGACGAGGCCTGAGACAAGGAGACTCACTGTCTTGTCTGCTTTTTAACCTAACATTAGAGAGAGTTATTAGAAGCATACATATTGACTGACACCTGAGGAACAATAACAGGATAATTTCTGAGGGAAACCCAAGACCCACAACCAATGGGCACTCTCTACAATCAACCTTTTCAGTATCTTGCATATGCTGATGACATAGCATTGCTTGGGAAAAGTATTAAAGACATATCGATATCCTTTATTAAAAAAAAATTTAAATGCATGACTGTGATAAGAGAAGAGAAAATAGATGAAGCCATAAAATTAGAAACCAGACTTTTGAAAAAGTAAACCAATTCAAATATCTAGGATCTTTATGAAATGAAAGAAATGAATTACCAACAGAAATAAAGAGAATATCAGCCGGAAACAGGGCATACTTCAGTAGTCAGAAAATACTCAAAAGTAAAAAGATTACAAGAGAAACAAAGAAAACTATTTATAAAACTGTGATCAGACCAGTTGTTAAATATGCAAGTGAAACTTGGGTTAGGGTTAGGGTTAGGTTGGACCCTAACAAAAACAGCAGAAAACCTATTAAACACATGGGAGAGGAAAATTCTCAGGAAAATATATGGACCAACAAAGGATGAAGATGGATGGAGAATACAAACCAACCAGGAATTATACAGTCTTTATCAGGATCCCAAGCTAGTAGCAGAAATTAAAAAAAAGGGGGTGGGTCACTTAGAGAGAATGCCAAATGACAGAGGAGTGAAGAAGGGGCATCACCAAAAGCCTAGAGGAAATGCTTCAAAGGCTGACCTAAGCTTAGATAGATGGATGATGTGTAAAAATATCTACAACTGGGAATCCAAACATGGAAAAGAAAAGCATTAGTTGGGTCTGATTGGAAGGAAGTAGTGAGGCAGGCCTAAGCCCTACATGGGCTGTAGTGCCTAAGGTATAGATGGATGGATGGATGGATGGATTATAGAGAAACCCAATCATAGTGTTAAATGAAATGTACGCAGACTGTTATAACAAAACTTGTGTGGCCAAACTAACATCTGGAGAAGTCAGGCCAAACTAACATCTGGAGAAGGCTGGCAAAATTAACATCTGGAGAAGGCTGGCCAAACTAACATCTGGAGAAGTCTGGCCAAACTAACTGGAGAAGTCTGGCCAAACTAACATCTGGAGAAGTCTGGCCAAACTAACATCTGGAGAAGTCTGGCCAAACTAACATCTGGAGAAGTCTGATGTCTCTTTCATACCCAACAATAATGTAAATCAAACTGTTTTTGTATCACCTTTCATGTATTGACTTGTTTATCCCATTGTGAATTGTTTATCTATTGCGACTTGTTTATCTATTGTGACTTGTTTATCTATTGTGAATTGTTTATCTAATTGGACTTGTTTATCTATTGTGACTTGTTTATCTAATGGGACTTGTTTATCTATTGTGACTTGTTTATCTATTGTGAATTGTTTATCTATTGCGACTTGTTTATCTAATGGGACTTGTTTATCTAATGGGACTTGTTTATCTAATGGGACTTGTTTATCTATTGTGACTTGTTTATCTATTGTGACTTGTTTATCTAATGGGACTTGTTTATCTATTGTGAATTGTTTATCTATTGCGACTTGTTTATCTAATGGGACTTGTTTATCTATTGTAACTTGTTTATCTATTGTGAATTGTTTATCTATTGTGACTTGTTTATCTAATGGGACTTGTTTATCTAATGGGACTTGTTTATCTAATGGGACTTGTTTATCTATTGTGACTTGTTTATCTATTGTGACTTGTTTATCTAATGGGACTTGTTTATCTATTGTGACTTGTTTATCTATTGTGAATTGTTTATCTATTGCGACTTGTTTATCTAATGGGACTTGTTTATCTAATGGGACTTGTTTATCTAATGGGACTTGTTTATCTATTGTGACTTGTTTATCTATTGTGACTTGTTTATCTAATGGGACTTGTTTATCTATTGTAACTTGTTTATCTATTGTGAATTGTTTATCTATTGTGACTTGTTTATCTAATGGGACTTGTTTATCTGTTGCGACTTGTTTATCTGTTGCAACTTGTTTATCTGTTGCAACTTGTTTATCTGTTGCAACTTGTTTATCTGTTGCAACTTGTTTATCTGTTGCGACTTGTTTATCTGTTGCGACTTGTTTATCTGTTGCGACTTGTTTATCTATTGCGACTTGTTTATCTATTCCGACTTATTTATCTATTGCGACTTGTTCATCTATTGCGACTTGTTCATCTATTGTTGGTGTTGATGATTTTCAAGAACTTTTGCCCACAGCTGATTGGTTGTTTTCTTCTTTTCTCCAGTTCTTCTTTTCATCATTTCACAGATTATCCTTTGTTGACCTCCGATATAATCAGGTTACAGCATTCCCAGGTAAGATAATCAGATTACAGCCTTCCCAGGTAAAAACCACATTTACAATAAGTCACTTACAGCTCTAGGGGAAATACATGATATTAGCATATGCAGAGGAAAAGATTCATGATACAGTAATTTTTGACACTCATTGCTGTTAGGTAATTATTATAATTTTTGTTGAAAATAATTAAGCATGATATTTACTGTCAGTCTATAAACCAACATATGGCTTGTGTCATGGTGAGATCATGTTTTGAAACTGGCTTTTGACATGGTGAGATCATGTTGTAAAACTGACTTATGTCATGGTGAGATCATGTTGTGAAACTGACTTATGTCATGGTGAGATCATGTTGTGAAACTGACTTATGTCATGGTGAGATCATGTTGTGAAACTGGCTTATGTCATGAGATCATGTTGTGAAACTGACTTATGTCATGGTGAGATCATGTTGTGAAACTGGCTTGTGTCATTGTGAGATTATGTTGTGAAACTGATTTATGTCATGGTGAGATCATGTTGTGAAACTGGCTTGTGTCATGGTCAGATCATGCTGTGAAACTGACTTATGTCATGGTGAGATCATGTTGTGAAACTGGCTTATGACATGGTGAGATCATGTTGTGAAACTAGCTTATGTCAAGGTGAGATCATGTTGTAAAACTGACTTATGTCATGGTGAGATCATTTTGTGAAACTGACTTATGTCATGGTGAGATCATGTCATGAAACTGGCCTTATTGTTGTTAGCTGACCAGCCCTAGAGGAATTGACAAATATTCATGACAAATTTAAAACCGTAATGGAATTATTCTTTTAATGTTTTCAGATGGTCTAGCATAGGCTTGCAATGTTAAAACTATCTAGCATAGGTTTGCAATGTTAAAACTATCTAGCATAGGCTTGCAATGTTAAAACTATCTAGCATAGGCTTGCAATGTTAAAACTATCTAGCATAGGTTTAGAAAATATAAATGAAAGGACTGCATTCAAGTCTAGTAAATGAATGAAATAGCAAAACAAGGTATGTGGAAGCTTGAATTAGAGAAACAGGACAAAAAGATAAGGACGTTTCGGCAAAGAGCCCTCTTCAGCTAATGGTAGAAATGAAAATGTCACAAAGAACAGAGCACAGTAAACAACTCAAGAAATATTTATTTATTTATTTATTTAGGCATTTTTATATAGCGCTTACCTTAAAGCTCTAAGCGCTTTACAATTATTAAAAACATGTAAACTAACTAAAATAAAAATGACACATTAGGATAGTAACTACTGTACTATAGAAATTAGAAACAATTAAAATGGCTATAAAACGAGGACACTTTGGCACGTTTTGGCCTATATTACAGGATTAACTCGAGACAGAAAATGAGGCAGGGCAAGGAGGGTTCATCACAGGTCATAGGCGGACCTAAACAGATGGGTTTTAAGGGACTTTTTGAAAATGGACGAGGTTTCACAATGACGGAAATCGAAGGGGAGCTGGTTCCAGAACGTGGGCCCATGGAAGTGGGAGCGTTCACCGATGGTCTTAGTTTTAGTTCTTGGGATTGAGAGGGTTCTATTGTCAATGGAAGAGCGTAGTTGTCTTGTTGACGCCGGAAGTGGGAACACAGGAAGCTAGAGAATATAAATATTGACACTGTGAAAAATAAGGTCCACAATAATAATGGACCAGAATATCTAGGGACACATAAACACACAGCAATAAGAAAATAAATGAAATACAGGGAAACAGAGAAACATCAGTAGGAAATTATTTGATTAATACCATATGGAGATATGATGCCAAACAGCTGAATAAATGTATTTTCCATTTTAATCCTATCTGGTGTGTTACTGCATGAAATCAGTGCCTTAATGGTTACATCCAATGCACCTTTATGTTCTTTTCTGTTGAAATGAGAAGAGACTGGGGAAGGTTTACATTGCTCAATATCCCTTAAATGTTCAGGAAACCTATCAGCCAATCTTCTCCCAGTTTCACCTATGTAACTAGATTGGCATCTACGGCACACAATCGCATATATTACATTACTGCTGACACAGGTGAAACCCTCTTTAATGGTAAAGGTACCTTTAGGGAGGCCAATGCTTTCAGTTTGGAGTGTAAAGGGACAAGTTCTGCAGCGGCCTCTTAAGCATGGTTTAGTACCAACGTAAGATGGTTCAGATCGAAGGCGACTATGAACCAGAAGGTCACCTAGATTTCTGTCCCGTCTAAAGACAATCAGTGGAGGGGATCAGAAAACCCTGTTGGTATCGATCGGGGTCAGCAAGAAGTATGCTGCGATTTTTTAGGAATATTTTTTTGGCAGTTAAATTGCGAGGGTGGTAGGTTAGTATAAGTTTGTTGTTTTGACGAGTTTTGAAAGCATCTTTTTGTGTGAGACAAGAGTAGTTTCAGGATAGGATCTGGATCGGAAGAAATCCATAATTTCATCAGCTCTTTCTTGACATTCTTCATCAATTTGGCAGAGACGCCGTAGTCTAAGAAGTTGTGAGACAGTTATAGAGTCTTTGCATGATTTGGGGTGAGAGGATGAGTACAATAGGTAACTATGGCTGTCAGTTGGTTTGTAGTAGGCAGATGTAATCCGTTCGTTCTCTTTCAAAGTTACGGTGATATCAAGGAAGTTGACAGAATGTCCAGCATAGGCTTGCAATGTTAATCAAGAATATAAAAATATCATAATGTTAAATCCTCCATTTAGTTTGCCTGCTTGATCTGTCTCAGCTGCGCAGACTTTATTTAGACCACAACCAACTCTGCCACCTTCCACAAGATATTGACAGATTGATTTCTTTACAGACCCTTAGTGTTGGGTAAGTCAAGGTTTCAGATATGATCCATTTATCCACTCATTGTTGGGTAAGTCAAGGTTTCAGATATGATCCATTTATCCACTCAGTGTTGGGTAGGTCAAGGTAACTGACATCACAGGCAAGACTGTTAGCAGATGACACAGCAGTGTATAGGACGATCGCCAACAGATCTGACCAGGACCAGCTACAACAGGATCTCAATCTGTTAGCTGAGTGGGAGATGAGCTGGGACATGGAATTTCACCCTGCCAAGTGCCAGACACTATCAGTCTCTAGAAGTTGTACTCCTCTACACTACCAATACGAACTGCACGGCCATATACTTGAGCGTTTCCTCCGTAAAGCACCTGGGTGTTACCATTCAAAGAGAGGTCCGCTGGGACGAGCATATTAACAATGTATGTAACCAAGCAAACAAGACCCTAGGGTTCTAAAGATTGGCAACTCTTGTGTAAAAGAAAGAGCATATAAAGCCTTTATCCGTCCGATTTTAGATTATGTATCTTCAGTCTGGGACCCATTTACCCAGAGGAGCATTGACAGGTTGGAGGCGGTCCAGCGACGAGCAGCACACTTTGTCCTAAACCGCTACAGGAATACCTCTAATATTGGCAGCATGCTAGAAACACTAGGCTGGTCACCATTGGAGAAACGACGACGACAATCCAGGCTCTCCATGATGTACAAGATAAATAATGGGCTGGTCCACTGTTCCAGTATTAAACAGAAACTCGTCCCTCTCCCCATAGACAGCGACGAGGCCATGACAGGCAATTCAGGCTCATACCAGCAAGAAGCCAGTATAGGAGCTGCTCATTCCTGCCCAAGACAATCAGGGACTGGAACAATCTTTCAAAAGGAACGGTTGAAGCGACAACACTAGACACATTATTGTCTATTGCCTCAAGCATTCAAACCCCTAGTGCATGATTTCCTCATCAACACCAGTAACAGAAACATTGCAAATCCCATCTACATGCATAGGAACCAAAATGATCAATAAATTGATCGTGGGCCCTTAAGATATAGAAGAAGAAGATAATAATAATAATAAAGTTAATTTGAAAATCACGCTTCATCCCCAAAGGCTCAAAGCGCGGTACAGAGTCTAGTATATTAAAAGAGAAATGAAACAATCTATAATATGCCACATTGAAATACAAAATGCAACATTGCAAAAACCTATACGAGAAAAGCCATTCTAAGTCTTTCATACCTAACAACCATAAACAACACAGGCCAATACACATCCACAAGATAATAGGTAGATCAACATCATCCCAGCAGGTGTTTGCGAAATAGATAAGTCTTCAAATCCATTTTTTAAGACTCCAGTGTCTGGCTGTTTCTGAGAGCGACAGGAAGGGTGTTCCAAATTGTTGGGCCAGCAAATGCGAAAGTGCGCCCCTCGTCAGTCTCAAGGCAAACACGTGGTATCGAGAGTTTGCCACTATCAGATGACCGGAGTTGTCTAGTGGGTACATAAGGCGTCAGTAGCGCTTTGAGATAGGACGGTGCTAGGTCACGCAAACAGCGGGAGCACAGGTTTGCAATTTTGTACTCTATGCGAGCGCAGACCGGCAGCCAATGCAGCTCTCTCAGAAGTGTTTTAGCATGGTCAAATTTGCGTTTGCGAAGAACAATGTGAGCCGCATTATTCTGTGCTATTTGAATTTTATCTAGGAGCGTAGCTGGAAAACCCACCATAAGAGCATTGCAGTAGTTCATGCTTGATAGCACGAATGCAGACATCAGCCTCTTTGTTGCATCTAACGTTAAGAAAGGTCTGATATGACTAAGTCTGCGCAGCTCTTGAAAAATCGCCTTGCAAAGCTTGGTTATGGGATTTTCCATAGTTAATTTTCTGTCGAAATAGACACCCAGGTTTCGCACTGATTTAGCAAACTCAATCTGTATACCTGAGAGAGATATGATACATTTATCCACTCAGTGTGCTCAAAGATGTTACATTTTCCCCCCTCAGTGTTGGATCAGTGAAGTTTTCAAAGTTGTTACATTTTCCCCCCTCAGTGTTGGGTCAGTGAAGTTTTCAAAGTTGTTACATTTTCCCCAAATGGCAATTCTAATTATTTGAAAGTATGACAAAAGAAATTAATTATTTTTTTATTAAATCAAATGTCTACTAATGAGACTTAATGTTAAATGCCTACTAATGGGACCCAAGGTTTAATGTTTTAATGTCTACTTGTTGTATTTCAGATATAATAAAATCACAGAAATCTGTGCCACTCTGTTCAATATCATAGGACTTCAGGTTGGCAATCAATAAACTTATTTCTAACATCCCCTGTAAACATTTTACTGGCAACCATAAAAGTACTTATTTTTGTCATGTTTTGATTTCGGAGGGAAGGTCAGAAAAATATTTTTATGCTCCCTTCTATTAGTATCATATCAGTGTCATATTAGTGTCATATCAGTGTCATAAAAACGTAGCAAAATTTCACAGTTTAAATTTTGAGCTTTTTTTTTTGTTATAATCTTCATAACTTGACAATTGTTCTCCACCAAAACAGACTTTGTGTTTCCGAGGTAACAGTGAACTGCGATCTCTCCCTACATCAGTGAGAAATTTGATTTGTCTACAAAAGTTAGACCTGAGCCACTGTAATCTTCGTCAAATTCCGACAACAATCGGCAATTGCACATTCCTCAGGATCTTCATGATATCATATAACAGGTTCTGTAAAGCCTTCTTTGAACTGGATGTATCCGTGTTCTTTAAAGACTTTTTCATCTAGATGTTTAGTCCCTACATGTCCTTTAATGCCTTTTTTCAAATGGATTTTTAGCACCTATTATACTAGGTGCTACTAGTGTCTATTGGCAATGTTCCACATGTGAATACAATTTACTCATTCATTGTGAGCCAGATTTTAACCAGTCTTGTCTCCAAAAATTATTTTGTTTTAAATTTAAATACGAATTTCAGGATGCAACTGTATTAATGAGAACATAACAAATAGCCAACTTAAATGTTTAATAGTTTTTGCAAGACAATCTTAAATGTTTATTTCTCTTCCAGATTGAGTCACCTCCCTTGTGAGATCTCCCAATGCTACAGACTAGAACAGTTGGATGTCAGTGGTAACCAGCTGACTTACCTCCCTGCAACACTTCTCTTCAGACAAGGGCAGCTAGCCATTAAAAGTGAGCAGTTCTCCTTCAATTATCTCTCACCCCATTCATTTCTCATGACACTGCTCGCCTCATTTCTTGAATTGAGTCGGCCAGCTGTTTTTGCCTCCCCCTCCCACCTCCTTCTCCTATTTTACCTGTGTAAGCTGTAAAGAATGTCATATAATCTACACCATGTTTTAAAAAAAGAACTTTGTGACAGTATAAAGCAGTATAAGTACAATCAATGTTGATAAAGAATTAATTAGTTATCATCTAGCCAAAGGTAGACGCGTGTCTCGTTTAGCTGCGTAAATGTGTGTGTCAAAAGAGACCTCATCATAAACATTCAGTGTCCATTGTTTATTGCATCTCCAGCTTTAGGAAATGATTTCATTCATAAGGAGGATGTTCCCAGGCAGTGGCCTGCACTGTCCAGTATTATTTCAAATGGTCAGAATCAGCCCCCTTCTCTCTGGCTCCTGTCCAGGGCATCAGTGGACAGATGGGGATTGGACACTGGTCAACTGCCTTTACCAATACAAGGTATGCAGAGTCCCCTCTTACAACGTTTTTTTACAAAAATATTTGCGTCCGATCTGTACTCCCCATTTATCACCATCTTTAATTATCACCATCTTTAATTAGGAATATTTTAATAAATTCATTTTTATTCAATACATTTAACTTAAAAATAATTTAGTTGTTATTGAGGTTTTAAAAAGTTCAATTAAGTTGTTTTTTTAATTTTAGCAGTCAATTTTTTTTTTTTACTTCATTTTTCTCTACAAACATAAATGTAATCGTGACAAAATGTCAGTCTAAAAATACAATATATATATATAATAATTTATTATAAGCTTTATCCGTGAAAAAATATTATTAATAGTAAATTTAACATTTCTATAAAAGAATTTTTTTTTTTGCATTATTTAAAAAAAATAAATGTAATCGTGACAAAATTTCAGTCTAAAAATACAATATATATATATAATAATTTATTATAAGCTTTATCCGTGAAAAAATATTATTAATAGTAAATTTAACATTTCTATAAAAGAATTTTTTTTTTTGCATTATTTTAAAAAAAAAAGATTTCTCAAAATAATTTTTAGAACTTTAAACTAAAAATTAGAATTGCCTAATTTCAGAAGAACTCTCCAATGCCTCCAGTTGTTTCCATTGTGGAAAGAAAAACATCACAAGCAGTGTCGGTCTGGTCAGATTTTCACAGTTCAATCAAAAACCACTGCCCCAGGGCAGCTCAGGTGAAGACGAGTACCCATTTCTATACACGTTCTGCTCTATGCACTTACAGAGTTGTACACAGGACACACTGGAACAACGGGTTGACCACCTTTCACAACCTCTGTAAGACACAAGGCACGGTTGCACTTCAAAACTGTCAAGCCTGGTCCTTGTCAAATGAGAATTTCTCTCTGTCTAAAAAAAGCATATTTTTTTGTTGAATGAGGTCAAGGTCTCAGTTATGTGATTCTCATAATGGTTATTACAATTATTCCATCGTGCACAGGAAGAATCAGATCCTCTCAAACTAATGCACAAAAGTTTCCTGCGATGGAGCCAGTATTCGGTGTTTTACCAGTGTCCATTGTATTCAAAAGCTGTATTTTCTCCTAATCAAGTGAATGCCAATGCAGAGTTGATCTTTATTTACAACATATTTACAATGCAACATTGACATAGTGAGATACTCATATCACATAGACATAATGTGATACTCATCTCACATAGACATAATGTGATACTCATCTCATAAATTATGTTGAAGTTGTGGTATTTACTGTGTAATGCATTAAACATTATATATGAAAATAGAATTGAAGGAGGGGGGAGGTATCCTCAGCGGGTCATTCTCATGGCATGTGAGTATTTAACTATCCGTCTATATTGTACTTCACTTTGTTTCTCGTAAGTTATATCATATATGATTGTTAGATAAATGCAGAGATTTTTTTTGGGGGGTAAAATGTGACCAGGGAAAGCACTACTAAATTGAAAATGTTGTGCACCCACAGACAGTGCATCAAACATTGGTACCTGTGTGGCTAGATAATGGTGGTATGCACTCACGCTGGGGGGGGGCTTACACAAAAATTCATCAACCATTTGGAAAGTTGTGAAATAATTGACAACATGACAGAAGGTGTAGACTAGGGTACCAGAAGTTGTTAGCATTTTTCATTAATTTATCTGACTATGGAACTCTTTCACCGGGTTTTTGATTCAGAGTTACACAGGGGTCGTCTAAGACCACCAGAAAACACATAGTTATGAATTAGCAACGAAAATAATTTTATGGTTGGGGGTCACCTCAACATGAGGAAAGGGCATTAGGAAGGTTGAGAACCACTGTCTTAGATAAATTGCCAACCAAAGTTAACCGGAGATGTTTCTGCTTGACTTGGGTTTTGGAGGGGATGAAATCCTGACCACACGCTACGGATTGAGTCATTTAATTAGCTGGTATCAGCTTGCCTAGAAGAAAACATCCATTAACTGTAGCTTTCTGATAGGGACCTTAGAGGGTCCTCAAGAAAACCTGTTACGCCAATGTTGGAGTTGCACCGTCAAGAGCACAATGGCTTTAACCAGCCCCCCTGCTTTGTAGGCTGGAAGACCAGAATCGGGCGAGGCGGCCAGCTCCAGGTGTGCCAATGATCTTCATGCACAAAGTGAAATCCTGCATATATTAAGTTGGTGTAAGTCTTATGGATAATGAATTTTTGAGAAGCATCAAATTGTACAACCTTCTGCCCTAGGATCTAAAGTTGCAGTAAGTCTTGTTTTGAATCTTGGACAAAACTTTTAAGTTAAAAACATTTTAGTTTGGTTTATAGTTTGACAGCTTGTGTTTGACAGCTAAGCTGTTTGACAGCTTGTGTTTGACAGCTAAGCTGTTTGACAGCTTGTGTTTGACAGCTAAGCTGTTTGACAGCTTGTGTTTGACAGCTAAGCTGTTTTAATGTTTATTTTGGGAAGTTTTATTGTGATTGTTTAAATGTTAAGCATTTTAATGTTTAGTTTATTGTTTTATGGCGTATGTTTTCCAATGAAGTTTTTGTAAACTTGTAAAATCTGACATCCAGTATTAAGGCAAATGTTACCTAAGCCTTTCTTTAATATCAGCTATCTCACAAATCAACTGGAAAAAAACACTTTTATCTCTCAAATGCCTGACGCTTATGTCAAACTTGTGTTTGGTTTGTGTTTAACAATGTTGCTAAAATAATGTGTATGTCTTGTGGACATTTACTCAGTCAGTCTTTTCAACCAGACTGTTTAGTATTCACATTTACTGTCAGTCTTTTCAACCAGACTGTTTGGTATTCACATTTACTGTCAGTCTTTTCAACCAGACTGTTTGTGGTATTCACATTTACTGTCAGTCTTTTCAACCAGACTGTTTGGTATTCACAAACATTCCAAGTTATTTATTGTCTTTGGGTTACATTTGACATCCAGAATTGTAAACTTACCTTACGGAACATACATTGATGTATGCTAATGACATCTATCTGTATGTCAATTGTGTCATGGCTAATATGCATTGATCATTTCCCTAAGGTCACCCAACCCACCTAAATATCCCAACACAATATTTCATACATTCGAATAAATTGACCACGGTCAGCTACAAACTCTTTATAAAATTTGTTTTGCATAAGTATTATAATTATAGACTTATTTTTTATAATTATAGACTTATTTGGTTTATATTATAAGCTTTTTTACTTATGTGGTGTAAATTATAAGATTTTGACTTATTAGGTGTAACTTTATAAGGTTATTGACTTATTTTTTTGTATTGATTTCTTGTTAAATGCATTTCAATTTGATTTCTCTGGTATCTGATCTCCTGGCAACACTTCCTGTTAGTGTTGTCATCTCCTCACAGCTTGGGCCTGTCTCTAACCTTACCTTCATCTTTTTACCTCGGGACTCCTCATCTACAGAGACTCATCCATGTTTGTCCTTGTTCCAGGTGGAAGTTATTTTCTACTTGATTTCTGCTAAATTTATTTTGCAATTATTTTCTATTTGGAAACAAGATTCTAATGCTATATTTATCTTGTTTTTATCTCTTGTTGGTGATGTATTATTGTTGAGTTCAATGTTGATGTATTATTGTTGAGTTCAATGTTGATCTATCGGTTTACTTGAACCCAAGTGCTAATGAGTTAATATTGAAGTTACAGACTTGTGACAGTCTTATAAAACTTGACCACATACAAAGCTATTTTTAGATAACAGGTTTGTTACAGCCAGTACAAAACCTGACCACAGACAAAGCTATTTTTAGATAACAGACTTGTGACAGCCATACAAAACCAGACCACAGACAAAGCTATTTTTAGATAACTGACCTGGGATAGCCTTTTAAAACCTGACCACAGACCAATCTAGTTTAGATCAAGCCTTGCTTCATGGTGAATACATCACAAGAGCTTCCGTCACTAGATGCCACCCATAACTCGGAGTCCTTGAATGGTATTTGATGAGTTATGGTTCTTTGTTCAGTGGCAAACTCAATTTCAGCTCAGTACTTATGTTTTCACTTTCAATGTTGTATTCAAACATGACATAACAAACGCGGCATAACAACTATTGCATACCAAACATATAACAAACAGCATAACAAATGCAACATAACCATCATAGCACATCAATCATAGCGTAGCAAACATATAATAGCATAGAAAACACAGAATAACACACAGCATAGCAATAATGCATAACAAAAATAGCAAAACAATGCTATTACAAAAAACACAGAATAACAAACATAACATAACATATAACTTGCTAAAGTGATGAACCAATTACAAACCTGTGCTTGAGACCAGGTTTGTTTGTCAGTGGCTAGAAGTCATGATTTGCAGTCATGTACCCACAGTCAAAGTCATGCATATTTTACCTTCTTTGCAAATCTTTAAAGCTGTCTGTTTAACATCTTAGCTGTGAACAAACATCTTCGTGTGTGTGTGTGTGTGTGGTTTGATTTGAATCTTCTGTAAGAATGTATTGTATCCAAGAAATGGGTTTCTCTATTGGTGTATTTTTGCTATGAAATGTACATATCATATTCTAGTCTTTAATGATATACTGATGTATGCATACTTACTGTCTAGTCAAAGTCATGTGCTCAATTTGACCCATGACAGCTTAGAGGTCAGGTGTTGTGGTCCATATTTTCACAATCTACAACTAGAAAATGTTTTCATTACCAATCAATTTTGTAACAACATGCAATTTATTATGTTGACATTTTGATCCATATTAATACACAGACATTAATTTTAGTTGTCTACAAATAAAAAATTATGAGGTCTACAGAAAAATTATTTGCACCAAATGAGATTTAGTTTCAAATATTTTGTTTCAGTAATATTTCAATTTTATTTTAATTCATTATTTATCATTTTATCTTATCTTATCTAATGATACACGAAATAACAGTCAAGTGGTTATTAAATTAGAACATTTAAATAAAGGGGGATAACAATTTAGAATGTTTATTTTAGTGTGATTTTTTTAATGTTGCTCTGAGTTGATACATTAGATTAGTACACACTGTCTAGTGATGTCATTATATTCTGTAGACAGCTGAGTTGATACATTAGATTAGTACACACTGTCTAGTGATGTCATTATACTCTGTAGACAGCTGAGTTTATACATTAGATTAGTACACACTGTCTAGTGATATCATTATACTCTGTAGACAGCTGAGCTTATACATTAGATTAGTACACACTGTCTAGTGATGTCATTATATTCTGTAAACAGCTGAGTTTATACATTAGATTAGTACACACTGTCTAGTGATGTCATTATACTCTGTAGACAGCTGAGTTTATACATAAGATTAGTACACACTGTCTAGTGATATCATTATACTCTGTAGACAGCTGAGCTTATACATTAGATTAGTACACACTGTCTAGTGATGTCATTATACTCTGTAGACAGCTGAGTTTATACATTAGATTAGTACCCACTGTCTAGTGATGTCATTATACTATTATTTCAAGAGCATTGTGTGCAATCCCTGATGATATAAGTTGGTTACAGAAATATAAGACATTTAGGGTTTTAAACTTAATGATTTTAAGGATTGTTTAATGTGGTATTTATTGGGCCATGGAATGTGTATTGATGTTGCATTCATTGGGCCATGGAATGTGTATTGATGTTGTATTTATTGGGCCAGGATAGGTGTATTGATGTTATGTATTATCTTTTTAACTACCTATTACATGTGTTTGTTCTTCAAAAACTTTTCTACCAGAGAGTTGCATTGAGTTTGAATGTTGCCAGATGTACAAGGCATTGTTTGGTGCAAATGTTATATTGTCAGATTTGTTTCTTCTTGTTGTCAAGCAGACGTAATCAAAGATTTGTATAACATTCTAATTTAAAATGCTAACAGCGCATTTTAAAAAAAAAACTTCCTTCTCATTTGATAAAATAATCTGAGCACTGTGAAGGCTTTTCGTGGAAGATTTCAGTACATGTTATTATACTTGGCCTGCGCAGCGACACAATTTGTAGGGGACATTTGTAATATTGTCATGGGTCAAATCTAGTTCTGTCGGCATTTCAAAACAACCCAAACTGCTCGTCAAATATGAAAGTGTTCATTGACAAGAAAGGAATGCCTTACAACTAAGACTAAGATAGACTTTGATGTTTGCCTGGGAAGATCAAGAGGGCTGGAAAAATCAACACTGGCAATGGCAAGCATTGTTTGATTGTTCCCTTCCTAAACATATCCTATATGAAATTAGTAAAACAAGGTGAGGTTAAACCAGAAAAAGGAACGAAACAAAACAACGAACGTGTCGGCAGGAAGCCTTCGTCAGCGAACAAAAACAGAAAAAAAAACTGAATAAAATTAACATTTAAAACTAGGACTTAGCTTAGGAGTAGCGTAGTGTCCAAGAGGGCAGCAAGTGAGTTGGGACAGAAAGTAAGGGGGTGAGAGATAAAATGGGGAAGGGGAAAGAAAAGAGGAGCACTAAGTCCATTGCGATAGGTCGTGACGTGGAGGGGCGGAGCTAGGTTCAAGTTGTGAAAAAAGACATGACGTTCATACCATGTGGTGTCAGTGTGCCATAGGTTAGGATAAGCTTATCTTCCAAATTCACCCGGCTGGGTGTGTTTGTGCAAGCCACGACATATCCTAGATGTTGTGATGGACTCTTAGATCCTGTGATGGACTCTTAGATCCTGTGATGGACTCTAAGGTGCTGTGATGGGCTATAAGATGATGTGATGGACTCTAAGATGCTGTGATAGACTCTTAGATGCTGTGATGGACTCTAAGATGCTGTGATGGACTCTAAGATGCTGTGATGGACTCAAAGATGCTGTGATGTACTCGAAGATGCTGTCATGGACTCTTTGAATATATTAACTGGAACTTACACGGTCCTTGACAGATGCCAATGTTTCTGCACCACTGGAAATATTGTTGTTCTGTAACGTCGTCCACAAGTTGTGTAGTTTTTTTTAAAGAACATTGGAAAGATGTTGTTAAATGTCCTGTGTAGATATTAAACTGAACAAAAGGAAGAACTGGCTTATTTAATTGATTGTGATTTCTGTCACCTGTTGTCTAGAGAATGACAGTGATGGTGAACTCAGTTGTCTGGAGAATGACAGTGATGGTGAACTCAGTTGTCTGGAGAATGACAGTGATGGTGAACTCAGTTGTCTGGAGAATGACAGTGATGGTGAGTTTTGTCGCGGCCAAAACTGTTATATTATAATACCTCGTTAATAAGAATGAATGCTCTAATTGCACCACACCAGAGACGTAACTGCAGCACACCAGAGATGTAACTGCACCACACCAAAGATGTAACTGCAGCACACCAGAGATGTAACTGCAGCACACCAGAGATGTAACTGCAGCACACCAGAGATGTAACTGCACCACACCAAAGATGTAACTGCAACACACCAGAGATGTAACTGCAGCACACCATAGATGTAACTGCACCACACCAGAGATGTAACTGAAGCTTCTATGACTCAAAGCAATACGAATCTTCCTCTAGACAGCCAAAATAGGCACGTACCCAGGACCCCCGTTACTTTTAGGGACCCCTTGAGAAGGGAAAAATATTTTTTTCTCCAAAGATGGTTTTACCATCTATGAGAGGAGGTAGAATAGACATGTTTTAATGACATGTTTTGAAGACAGCAGGGATGAATGATGTAACACATACACGGTCAGCTATAAGGTAAGTAACCAGCAGAAATGTCAAACAAAAAGACTTTTTTTTCTTCCAATTTTTGGTAGTGATACTTAACACTAAGGTATAATTTAAGATATGGATCCCCTGTGAACCGTGGCGTACCTTGACTTAGTTCTAACCCTGCCAGGGCGAACTCCCAAAACGGGCGCCCCCCCCCCCCCCAAACACACACACACGAGGATTTGTTTAGCCTACATTAAAATATATTATTTTAAATCAACAAAGTGCCGTGCGACCCTTCTAGGCACGTTAATTGGGGAGTCAAACTTTCACCTGCCCAGGGGCCTCACCTCCATCCGCCACTGCTATGTAATATATTTCTTACAGCCTGGCATGACGTCAGGAGCCATCTCACTAGATTCGTTCATAGATCATTTATTCAAATCAAAACTACACAATGGTAAAAGAAAAAAAAAAAAGTTAAAGACTATAAATTTAGCATCCATTTAACTTTTTATTAAAAATAATTATCATTAGAAATTTGGAATGAGAGTTGAAATATTTAAAAGAAATAGTTGACATATTTGTAGGTAGGTTTAACAATTTTTGTTTTATGTAGGCGAAGGGAAAGAACTTTCATCAAATCGAGAGCATTGAATCAAAACTGATCACATAATTGAAATAAGACAATCTTCATGTGTGATGATTTCAGAGAAAAAAAAAAGAGCTGATATTATTTACAATAGTTTTAGAATGTATGCAATTTGAATCACAAAAGTTAACATTTCTACGCTTCTCACCCAAAACATTTGTTGTATTGCTTCTCTCCCCTTGCTTATGCTCAAAACCACTTTACATTGGCAGAAGTCAGTCTGTTACAATCCTGGTAACAACTTTCAATGAAATCTAAATAATTTACCCCATCTCCACCATCATCACGTTACAAGAAAAGTTCAAACAAACAACCGATGATAACATTTCCAACATACAAACGATAAGAAAAGTTCAAACATACAAAAAAAGAAAAGTCATTTTTAATCATTGATTCAAGCAAACATTTTATCCTTAGTTCCACAAACTATTTGTTTTATTATAATTATTAAACGGTTGTTAAGTAAACACAAATGTCAGATGAACTTTGGATTTTGTTTTAATAAGCTATGACCTATGATCCCATAAGGTTAACGAACTTTATGTTGATTAGGAGTTTTTTCCCTGGAGGAAGGCCTACAATATTATTGAATAGTTTAATATAAATACATCGCAACTTCCTTTAAAGTTTCGTCGAAGATATTAAATTTGGCATACAAAAAGATAGATCTATTCATCTCGTACTATGGGATATCAGCACTTTGATTTTGATGGCTTCAATAAAATTCGCGTCAATTAATTTATTTACATTTTTTTTTAAAACCTCTACGATGACTTGATGAGGAAAAAACATGAAACGGTACTTCACTTAAATAATGAACTAGGTCACGTGCCTGGAATATAGGTGAGCCAATCATTAAGAGGTTCATCCATTTCATAAAGCCTCGACCATCGCGTTTGTTGTCTTTGCTAGCAGAGAGAGAGAGAGAAGAGGGAGAGAGAGAGAGAGACAAGAGGGAGAGAGAGAGAGAAGAGGGAGAGAGAGAGAGAGAGAGAGAGAAGAGGGAGAGGGTGGGGAAAATCGAATCAAGATATTCAATAAATATTTTTGGACTCTAAGATTTTATATAAATAAACATTAAAAACATTTTGAATTTTTACTACTAATAAATACACTGTTGATGCTTGACTGCTGTCCAGTTGATTTCAAAATAATGAATGGCTGGGAACGTTTTCTTAAATTATAATAGTTTATTCAGCATTTTATAATCCCTGAATTTTTTTGAGTGACAGAAGCAAAAAAAACTAATAACAATAAACACAAAATTCATCAATAAACCACCAGTTGTTTTCACTGCAGTAATATTTTGAATGAGTTGTCAAACATTTCAAACTGTAGTAGTTAATGTGTTTTGATTTCCATAAACAAAAATATAATAATTTTATTACCATTACTAAGATGGAGTTCAACCTTTCTGACATACATCCAACTCTCAAACATCAAAAGAAGCAAAATAAATAACATACACTGAAGAGTTTTCTTTGTCCTTGAACAAACAATTTTTGTCCACAGGCATCATGGATTAAATGACGTAGGAAAGATGGGGCATTTTTAAAAAAAAACATATTTAGCGTGACAAAAGCCTGGCCAGAGGGATTGAATAACTTGCCAGATAAACACATTTTCTTGGCTGATCGACAAACAAAACAGAACAGCCACAACCGTTAGTCGTTAGATTAAAAGAAATTTCTTAGATAGACACGTGTTGATCATATCCCGACACACATACACACTTATGAAGCCATGCGACACACACAAACACGCATACAAACACACAACAATCATCACACACACGTCTGAGCAATTTTATCACGTATACACACTTGTGCATATCCATTTCTTTCCTCCTCTTCACCTCCTACACTAAACATTCCAGACCCGATAGGTTACACCCATTTAACAAGACTTCGTTTCATAGAACCCATTCCTTAGAGCCCATTCTATAGAGCATTCTATAGAGCCCATACCATTGAGCCCATTCAAGAGAGCCCATTCAAAAGAGCCCATTAAGTAGCGCCCGTTTTATACACGCCATTCCATAGTGCCCATTCCATAGAGCCCTTTCCATAGAGTCATCTCCATAGAGCCCATTCCATAGAGCCCATTCCATAGTGTCCATTCCATAGAGCCCATACCATAGAGCCCATTCTATAGTGCCCATTCTATAGTGCCAATTCCATAGAGCCCATTCAATGGTGCCCATTCCATAGAGCCTATTCCATAGAGCCCTTTCCATAGAGCCCAATCTATAAAGCCCATTCTATAGTACCAATGGGCGCCCGCAGAAAACTTTCTAGTGGGGGGGGGGGATCCAATAAACTTTCCAGGGGGGGGGGGTAAACATTTTTTAGTAATGTTTTAATATAGTTTTAATTTATTGTAGCGTATTTGTATGGTGAACGAACGGACAGGACATCAGCTTAGTTACTTTCTCTTTATTTTCTCTTTACTTTAATACATCTTTTTCAATTTTTTCCTAAAATATTTTTATCCAATCAGTCCATGGCGGGCAAGTGCCCCCTTGCCCCCCTGCGGGTGCCCAAAATCATGCCCATTCCATAGTGCCCATTCTATAGAGTATAATCCGTAGTGCTCATTCCATTGTGCCCATTCAATAGTGCCCTATCCATAGAGCCCTTTTCAAAGTTCCCATTCCATAGAGCCCATTCCATAGTGCCCATTACATAGTGCCCATTGAATAGTGCCCATTCCATTGAGCCTATTCCATAGAGCCCTTTCCATAGAGCCCATTCTATAGAGCCCGTTCCATGGTGACAATTCCATAGAGCCCATTCCATAGAGCCCATTCCATAGTGTCCATTCCATAGAGCCTATTCCATAGAGCCCATTCCATAGTGCCCATTACATAGTGCTCATTCCACATAGCCCATTCCAAAAAGCCCATTCCATAGAGCCCTTTCCATAGTGCCCATTCCATAGAGCCCATTCTATAGTGTCCATTCCATAGTGTCCATTCCATAGAGCCTATTCCATAGAGCCCATTCCATAGTGCCCATTACATAGTGCTCATTCCATATAGCCCATTCCATATAGCCCATTCCATAGAGCCCTTTCCATAGTGCCCATTCCATAGAGCCCATTCTATAGTGTCCATTCCATAGAGCCCATTCATAGAGCCCACTCCATAGTGCCCATTCCATAGTGCCCATTTAATAGTGCCAATTCCATAGAGCCTATTCCATTGAGCCCTTTCCATAGAGCCCATTCCATAGAGCCCATTACATAGTTCCCATTCCATAGAGCCCATTCCATAGAGCCCATTCTAAATTGTCCATTCCTTAGAGCCTATTCCATAGAGCCCATTCCATAGAGCCTATTTCATAGAGCCCATTCAATAGCGCCCATTCCATAGAGTCTAATCCATAGAGCCATTTCCATAGAGCCCATTCCTTAGAGCCCATTCCAAAGACCCCATTCCATAGAGCCCATTCCATAGTGTCCATAACATAGTTCCCATTCCATAGAGCCCATTCCATAGAGCCCATTCCATAGAGCCCATTCTAAAGTGCCCATTCTATAGTGTCCATTCCATAGAGCCCATTCCATAGAGCCTATTTCATAGAGCCCATTCAATAGTGCCCATTCTATAGTGCCTATTCCATAGAGCCCTTTCCATAGAGCCCATTTCATAGAGCCCATTCCAAAGAGCCTATTCCATAGAGCCCTTTCCATAGAGCCCATTCCATAGAGCGCTTTCCATAGAGCCCATTCCATAGAGCTTATTCCATAGAGCTCATTCCATAGAGCCCATTCCATAGAGCCCATTCCATCGAGCCCATTCCATAGAGCCCATTCAATAGTGCCCATTCTATAGAGCCTATTCCATAGAGCTCTTTCCATAGAGCCCATTCCATAGAGCCCATTACATAGTGCCCATTCCATAGAGCCCTTTCCATACAGCCCATTCCATAGAGCCCATTCTATAGTGCCCATTCCATAGTGCCCATTCTATAGTGTCCATTCCATAGAGCCCAATTAATACTGCCCAATCCATAGAGCCTATTCCATAGAGCCCATTCCATAGTGCCCATTCCATAGAGCCCTTTCCATACAGCCCATTCCATAGAGCCCATTCAATAGTGCCCATTCCATAGTGCCCATTCTATAGTGTCCATTCCATAGAGCCCATTCTATAGAGCATATTCCATAGAGCTCATTCCATAGAGCTCATTCAATAGTGCCCATTCCATAGAGCCCATTTAATACTGCCCATTCCATAGAGCCTATTCCATAGAGCGCTTTCCATAGAGCCCATTCCATAGAGCCCATTCCATAGAGCCCATTCCATAGAGCCCATTCCATAGTGCCCATTCCATAGTGCCCTTTCCATATAGCCAATTCCATAGTGCCCATTCCATAGTGCCCATTCCATAGTGCCCATTCCAAAGTGCCCAATCCATAGTGCACATTCCATAGTGCCCATTCCATAGTGCCCATTCCAAAACCATAGAGCCCATTCCATAGAGCCCATTCCATAGAGCCCCTTCCATAGAGCCCATTCCATAGTGCCCATTCCATAGAGCCCTTTCCATAGAGCCAATTCCATAGTGCCCATTCCATAGTGCCCATTCCATAGTGCCCATTCCAAAGTGCCCAATCCATAGTGCACATTCCATAGTGCCCATTCCATAGTGCCCATTCCAAACATCTCTCCCTAGCAAGGATGAAATAAAAAAAAATGCATAATCTTTCCACCACGTTCATCTTTTAGTGGGAGGGGGGGGGTGGTGGTGGGGAGGTGTATCCTGTAATCTTGTTATGCACGCTAAGATTGTCAGCACAAATTATAAGCGTCACGAAGAATAAATAACAAGAGAAAAAAACATAATGAGAGACGAAAATATTTCTCAACATTCTCTTATTGGATATTGCCATCGGATTTCTGCGTTCCCCAGATTGTGATTATGTTCCCCAGATCGAATTGTGTCGCCTGGAATGGCGTAACAAAAAGTTCATCATGTTCACTGTGAGATTTCATAACACTACAGCCATCTTGTGCAGGTTATTATAGTAGTCACTTTGACTTTGTACCCACTTTGTGGCCACAATTACCATTAATAAGGTTTGCTGCCACTAAATAGCGGGCAAGAATGAAACAGCCAAGAACTAATTTTCAGAAGCTATGAAATAAACGAAATAGTTGAAAAGAAAGACCGCGCCAACTTTACTGGGGATAATTCCTCAATAACCACAACACAAGCAACCCGACTGTGAATTTCTGTCGTACAACAATACATTATGATTTCGATTCATTGCTTGTAACGGACATTGCAATTTACGTAATTTATATTTCCACACGTTCTTCGAAAAACTCCTTTCATTCCATGATATAATACAATGATCACTCTCTTTCATTCAATGATATAATACAATTATCACTCCCTTTCATTTCTTACAATTTATCAAATCATTTATTAATAGTAATAAAGTGAGCACCCCCCCCCCCCCCAATCCCCTAAACCCTTACAGAAGATTTATTTAATTTCCATGACTCGAGCTCAGGCCGAGAAACCGACTGAGTTAGATTTACTTTTCATCAGACTCAGTTTGACATTTCCCAAAATAAATACCCCTCAGCACATTGGGAACTAGATTGGGAACTACATTGTATCAATGCTGCACCGTGGAGCATGGCCACTTTTGATCTAACAGTGTTATTCATATCCCTTGTATTGTACGAGTTCAGATCCCACTTCGATGGCCATCGTTGGTAAAATTTCACATCAGAGCCAAGAAACAAGCCGGGATCGATATTCAAAACATGATTACGGCTTATCCAAACCAAATTTGGTCTAGAAAGAACGCATCGAACATCTGCCAATCGTCTTTGGTGGAAGGTATCGATACCTTAAAATCGTTTCTTGAACCTCAAGAGATCGTATCATCGTGAACGCTGTAGACGTTCAGGTATCGCAGTCTTCATATCGTCTCTTGTACTTCCAGAGTTCTTATCATCATGAACGCTGTAGAGTTGGGGAAGCTGCTGATGCCTACATTCGCGGAGCTCGTTGCCCCGGCGCTACGCTGGTAGGAGGTTAGGTAATCGGATGGGAATATCCGGAGGCACTCCTGGCCAGCGGCAGAGTCAGTGCTCGGAGGGGGGCTCGAGGCGTTCGACGCTAGATATTGCTGCTGGTGCAACGTTGTCGACGGCGTTTCCAGCACGGCCATGTCGACGTTTTCGATCGGGGAGCCCCCACAGGCTGCCGCCCCTGCCTGCTCCTCCCTACCATAAGCTGAGAGGTCTGTACCGAGAGCCACCACCGGTCCCGCGCTGCATGTCTCTGAGTGACCATGGGCGGAGACAAAAGGGCCGTAGGTCAGGGTCGGGTCCTTGTACACCATCATCGCCATGGAGTAGTACGGTGACTGGAGGGGAACAGGCGGCCACCCGTATCCGCCGCTGATGAGAGGTTCCCCGCAAGATGAGTTGAGGGCGTTGTGATCATAGTAGCCCCCAGACGACATAGGCGGCTTGTCACTGGAGTCATCGAGTGGGGCACACTCATGCTCATCCAAGGCATCGGGATATTTGTTTCTGTACGTCAATAAGAAAAGAAAACACGAAGTTAACAGTGTGATGATACACATTCAAGTAAGTTGAAAACGGTGCCCCGGTGCTTATCGATATCTTACAAAACATTTAAAAGTGGTACCCTAGTGATTCTTGATATCTTACAAAACATTTAAAAGTGGTACCCTAGTGCGTCTTGATATCTTACAAAAAAATTAAAATTGGTGCTTGATTGCTACTTGATATCTTACAAAACAATAATTAAAATTGGTGCTTGATTGCTACTTGATATCTTACAAAACAATTAACATTGGTGCTTGATTGCTACTTGATATCTTACAAAACAATTAACATTGGTGCTTGATTGCTACTTGATATCTTACAAAACAATTAACATTGGTGCTTGATTGCTAAATGATATTTTACAAAATATTTAAAAGTGGTGCACAAATGCTTCTTGATATCTCACAAAACATCTCTCTTGCTGTTCGTTGAAGCAGGATTCTTGCCGACACATTCGTTGTTGCGTTATTTTTTTAAAAGGTTTTCCCATTGTCTTACTTATATTCCTTTACCTAACCGGAATGCAACCCTCCACCCAATATTATCATTCACATCTCATAGAAAGTTCTTGTATATAGGTCATAGACTTTCAAGAAACAATGGCAATAGACCAGGGGTCAACATCATCCTATTTAAAAACTATAATACTAGTCTTTACAGATACTATCTAGATTAGCAGCTCCATTGGGGTCTCCGTCGACTCAGTATTAGGAACCACTGCCTAGGTTTCAATATATATCAAACGTTTCTCGTCTCTTTCGTAGTCGTAATAATCTTGTGTTAACAGCTGATAATCATTCTAGGGTTATGTTCCTTTAAGGCAATAGCGTGGTAATAAAGCTGAGCTAGTTAACTATTGAGTTGGCAATTACGTGGTAATGTGACCTAGTTAACTTTTGAGTTGGCAATCACGTGGTAATGTGACCTAGTTAACTTTTGAGTTGGCAATCACGTGGTAATGTGAGCTAGTTAACTTTTGAGTTGGCAATGACGTGGTAATGTGAGCTAGTTAACTATTGAGTTGGCAATGACGTGGTAATGTGAGCTAGTTAACTATTGAGTTGGCAATGACGTGGTAATGTGAGCTAGTTAACTATTGAGTTGACAATGACGTGGTAATGTGAGCTAGTTAACTTTTGAGTTGGCAATTACGTGTTAATGTGACCTAGTTAACTATTGAGTTGGCAATGACGTGGTAATGTGAGCTAGTTAACTTTTGAGTTGGCAATTACGTGGTAAATGCCCTAGTTAAATTAACTAATTATAAAAAAGTGTTGGTCTGCAATAAAGCTTTAAAATATATTAATAAGACACGAACAAATTGTGTCAATATAACAATATAAGGAAGATTGAATAATAATTATATATTATACACAGTAAACATTTCGGCACATGCCTTCATCAGTACAAACTAATAAAACACATTTCAGAGAGCACCTCTACAACATAAATAAACACGCTCTCTGTCCGGTCTCCAAATATTTCAATAGCCCTAACCATGATTGGTATTTCAGACATTGCAGTTACTGGTATACTCTATACTAGTAACACTGCAGATAGAATCTATATGGAGAACAAATTAATAACTAGATTTGGTACGTTGTCTCCATATGGAATGAACCAAATCCACAATTTTACTTAGCTGCAATGTCTTTTTCCTGTTTGGTTTTTCCAATTATGTTAAAATCACTTCCTTTCTACTTCTCTTTACTTTGTTTTTGTCTGGTTTTAGCGCCCTCTCCTATATTTTTTTCTGTCTTAGGTAGGATATGTATATTGATAATATGTACATTTAAGTTATACTTACTTAAATGTGTTTTGTTTTTTTGTACTG